AATTAAAGCCATAGGCTGCATTTGAAATTGCATACTTTTGGATTAATTATTTCCGTTTATTATTGAATATTATGTTAATATTACAGGGGGCATGATCTGCATTGTTTTACTACTTTTATTTCTAATGTCCTTAAAGGCCTCTCTATTATTTTTTAGCTTGAATCCTAGAAGCTTGGCATTTTAGATCTTCACAATCACCAGCAATCTAGCCAGTGCACATGGCTGGACAACTACACATCTGCCAGTACATGAAATCCAACTCCCAGAAGTCTTTGCACTCACACACAAGTTCCTGATTACACCTGATTACACACACAGCTGGAAGCTCCTAAAGGTCTGATAACTAGGAATATCAAGACACTTCGTTCACACTAACTCTTTGCTGAGTCTTGTTATACTAGTAGTGTAACACCACAAAGTCTTTCCTTATTGTTTTCATTGTTTTCACTGCCTGTCTTGACCAATCGCCTGCTTTGCTGACTATGCTTCTGGATTACCTACTGTATATGGTACTGTTTGTTCGCGTTGCATTCTCTGCTAAATAAACTATGTGTGGATCCTCAACTACGTTGCCAGAATCGGTTGTTTACACCATGAATCTGTTATCAGGACTAACGAGGCAATGATAAGTGAAGAGTTAATTTGTAAAAACATTTTTCATATTTTATTTGTATAATCTACAGTAAATTAAGTACACTGCTCAGAGTGTGAGTGCAAAAAAAGGCTGATATACAATCTACCGTACGATACAACTATAGTGATGGGCAGTTCGGAACATTCATTTATTAATTTTCCTTCAGCTTAGCCCCTATTTTAGGGGTCAGCACAGAGGAATAAAATGCCAACTATTCTGGCATTTGTTTTACATTCACACACACACACACACACACACACACACACACACACACACACACACACACACACACACACACACACACACACACACACACACACGCACGCACGCACACGCACGCACACATACACACACACACACTCACAACAGAAAATTTAGATTATTCGATTCACCTATTCCACATGTCTTTTTACTGTGGGGGAAACTGGAGCACCCGGAGGAAACCCACGCGAAGATGGGGAGAACATGCAAACTCTACACAGAAATGCCAAGTGTCGAAGTTGGGACTTGAACCAGCGGCCTACTTGCTTTGAGGCAACAGTGCTAACCACTGAGCCACCATGCATTAAATTCTGAACATTTGATTTCATTCATTAATTACTTTTCTTTTCGGCTTAATCCCTTCATTAATCAGGGCTCGTGACAGTGGACTAAACCGGCAACTTATCCAGTATTTGCTTTTACGCAACGGATGCCCATTCAGCTGCAACCCAACACTGGGAAACACTCATACACTCTCATTCACACACATACACTACGGACAATTTAGCGCTCCAATTCACTTACAACACATGTCTTTGGACTTGTGGGGGAAACCAGAGCACCCAAAGAAAACCCATGCGAACACAGGGAGAACATGCAAACTCCCCACAGAAATGCCAGCTGATATGTTAAATACCTATTCTCTAATATAATTCACAAACACATGCAAATTGTTGCATCTCGATCAAGAACAAAACTATAATGCATCAACAAAATTATAAGAGACACTAAAGATTAATTGTTTGTCTCTCCAGGCAGGCAGTTTAAATTAGCTGATCTCATCTTTCATTTTCCGAGTCCTCAAATAGTTCTTTTGTCACGTCACAAATCCCTAAACTAAAGTTATGCATACTGTCCCAGGTCAATAAAAAAAATAAATTAATAAAAAATAAAAAATAAAAAATAAATATATATATATATATATATATATATATATATATATATATATATATATATATTTTTTTTTTTTTTTTTTTTATCATAGTCTTGAGTTGTTTGTTCAGCAGTAGTAACAGCACAATTGATTGAAAGTTGATGGAGATCCGTTCTCACAAATATGTCCATTTCAATAATTTTTCTCTAGGTTTTAGAAAGGGATGGAGTTGTATATTGTCAAAACTAAAGAATACGCAAGACATGTCACTCGTATAGTTTTTAATGGGGAAAAGTTTAACGATCAACGTGGCAAATGAAGCCCACCTTCTAGTACACGAGCCAATCAGTGATCGGTATTGACTGACGAATCTCCGGGGTAGGGGCTTGGACCAATAGTGAGTTTATGCAGATTTTGAGTGATTAGAACATTTAGAAATACAACTACAGACAGTTGTTGTGTAATTGAATTGGTGTTTCCTAATATTAACTTTTATCATAAGCTTGGCAAGTAATTTTGGAGAATTTGATGTTTCCCCATTCAGACAAAATGCCGACCGTATTGCCCAAGAGGCGTTTAAAAGATAGCCGCAGAGTGAAATGACTTGCCTTTAAGGGACTTTGACATAGCCCAGCCTGACTGGGTACCTGCTGTCTGTGTTGCAATTCAGATATGACCATTATTTTTATGTTAATCGCCATAGTTACTCTGCTAAGACACCTGACTGACAACATGACAGACAAAGACAGGGCATAGAATATCAGCAAATGATTGGCTAGATCCCTTGTCATTAAAACTGCCATGAATGTTCAATTGCGTAGCTTTAATGCCATTCACAAATCATCTTCAGGGGTTTTGTTGGTTTAGTCTACTATACTATACTATACTATACTATACTATACTGGGCGTCACGGTGGCACAGTGGGTAGCACAATTGCCTTACGGCAAAAAGGTCGCTGGTTCAAACCTCGACTGAGTAAGTTGGTATTTCTGTGTGGAGTTTGCATGTATCCCCATATTTGCGTGGGTTTCCTTTGGGTGCTTTGGTTTCCCCCACAGTCCAAACACATGCACTATAAGTGAATTGAGTAAACTAAACTGGCTGTTGTGTATTTGTGTGAATGAGTGTGTATGGATATTTGCCAGTAATGGGTTGCAGCTGGAAGGGCATCCACTGCGTAAAACATATGCTGGATAAGTTGGCGGTTCATTCTGCAGTGGCGATCACAGATTAATAAAGGGACTAAGCCGGAAAGAAAATGAATGAACTATACTATCCTCAATACTATTTTCACATACTGTTTTTTACATACCATATGATGTAGTAGGAAAGTATGCAATTTCTGAATACAGCCATGCTATTAATTCAGAGGCAGCAATGCCATGACAACGGATCCTTTAATAGCTTAATTTCCAAAAATAACATTCTTTAACTTTGTTATTTAGCTTAGTTTATGATTGAGACACACATGGAAGCACACACATGCAAACACACCAACCAAGAGAACAGAAAATCAGAAGACAAGATTAGTTGAAATCAACACGTGATTGGATTTTCTGGTTTTGTAATCAAGTGGACACATAAATAAACACACATTAAAGGGAATATGCAGTTTCACCTGCTAGATAACACTGACAACAACAACAAAAATAACTTTCTAAATAGTCTTGTCTGGCTGTATTTACTTCTGCTGAAAATACTGGTTCAGCAATCAGTTTGACACATGATATTTCAGGATATAAAAACAAGAGCAGTTAAAAAGATAACATTTTAACAAAGACATAATTTCTACATTGGTTTTATCTGGATACCAAATGATCATTTTTAATTGTGGTGTGTTTAAATATTTAGGACTCTGTCTTTAAGTTCTGTAATGCCATTTGTGCATTTCAAAATGTCTAAAAAGCAAAAAACTTTTGTTCAGTTACTTGACTCTAAAACATAAATTTAGCCATCAGTTTGGCACATTCATGTTATATGATAAAAAAGCAATAGGAGTTGAAAAGTTTCTAAGCATACACTGAACATCGACAACAATATCTCACAACATTAACGAGCATAGGCTCATTCTAAAAACATAGCCCTATATACATTTCTGGAGATTCAGAAGTACGTAAGGCTACAATGAGTCTTTAAAACGAACGCTATGGGGTGGTATGATGCCGTTCCTTTTCGCGCTAGCAGCTGACCGATTACCTCCGTGTGGAAGGCTTTCCCGCTGTTACCAGTTTGACCAGTAGCTCGCCATGTACATCGGCAAACTTAAGACAGAGAGGAGTTGACCACGGTGACAGGGTTTGAGTCCGGAGAAGAACGGTTCCAGAAAGAGGGTAGTAAAAAATAGAAACCAAAAAATTAAATAAATAAGTCAATAACAGGGTGAAAATGTGGTAAAATCTAAAAATGTGGTAAAAATCAATCTTTTTAAAACTGTTGGTTGGGTTTAGATAAGTGGGTGGTTGGGTCAATCAGTGCTTTTGAAAACACTATTGGTTGGGTTCAGGGAAGGAGGAGGGTGGGTCAGTTGATCAGTCAGTCAGTCAGTAAGGCCATAGCTGCTTCTGGTGGATTTATGTGAGAAGAGCAGGCGGGAATGGCACCCATGAAAGAAATTTGCAATCTTAAAAGCATACACAGCGGCCTCTGGTGGATTCACGAAAACAAAAACTGCAAAAAAACTGGCGCTCTCCAGAAATTTATATAGTTGTATGTTTTCAGAATGAGCCTGGGTTGACATTAATATGGTATACACTGAAAGGTTTTCTCCTATTTCTGCAATGGCATACAAAACTGTATCCTAAAACCACCTTAACTTTCATGTTGACTCTATTTCCTTTAATAAGTGTTCTTTTTTGTCATAATTAAAGAAGTAAAGGGTAAAAACAGCAGGAAGAGTGAATGTGTGAGCTACAGTTGGACCGACACTCACCTGCTCTCATCATGTCAGAGACACCTCCGGATTTCTCCAGACGAGGGCTGACGTGAACTTTGACCTCTAATTAGGGTCATGAACGAGGACAGAGAAGGATAGAGAATGATAATAAGGTTTAAGAAGCAAGAGTGAGGAAGAGGAGGAGAAAGAGCGGGGATGGAAAGGAAGTACTAAACACAACACTGAAATATCCTTCACCGACTGTAAGCTATAAATTGCGGACATTTAAAATGTGTGGAGATCAAATATTGCTCATGGATAGATTATCATTAGAGATGTATCAGGTTGAGGATGTTACCTTTAACAGATTCTGTCACCACCTGCAAGAGAGAGAGAGAGAGAGAGAGAAAGCTGTTTAAAATTTGATCTGGTTGATCCATGTGATGCATGTGTGCATTTAATATGAAATATTCAAATACAGTCAACAACAATATATTTTCTGTTTAAGAGTACTAAAAGGATCATGGTTTTAACAGAAGTGGTTGTGTTGCACATTGTAGAACTCATTCATTTTAATTTACGCGGTGGCGCAGTGGGTAGCACGATCGCCTCACAGCAAGAAAGTCACTGGTTTGAGCCTGGGCATATGTCAGTTGCCATTTCTATGTGAAGTTTGCATGTTCTCCCCGTGTTCGCATGGGTTTCCTCCGGGTGCTTTGGTTTGCGCCACAAGTAGATTGACATGTGGTATAGGTGAATTGGATAAGCAAAGACTGTCCGTATTGTATGTGTTTGAATGCATGTTTATGGATGTTTCCTAGCTATGGGTTGCAGCTGGAAGAGCATCCGCTGCGTAAAACATATGCTGGATAAGTTGGTGTTCATTTTGCTGTTTTCAACCCCTGATTAATACAGGGACTAAGCTGAAATAAAAATGAATGAATGATTGAAAAAGCTGCTAATCTATTGTTTTTTTTTTTTTTTTTTGGCTATTTTTAAGACATACAAATAAACCTGTAGAACAAACGTCAGCTGCCGTTTACACTACTGCATTTTTGTTTTAAAATGTATTTAGAGTTTTGTTACAGGTACTGTAATGCCTGAAAACAGTGTTTTGAAAATGCTGAAAAAGTTTGGGAATGCTGGTTTTTAGTTGGTGTTTAGTTTAGGTGTTTAGTGTGGCTGTCCATAACTGCTCTCTGACTGGTGTTCTGGACTACTGCTGTCTGTTTCCTGATTTGTCTAGGCACTCATATGACCATTACACAACCATTATGATGGCAAAATATGTTCATGCCAAGAGAGCGTGACATATCACTCGTTTTTTTGCATAAAATAATTCAACGGTGCTGTGTGTAAGTTTTTGACTTTTCTAAAGCACAAAATACCATAATATGGTTGCAGGTATTTAAGAAACATGCCAAGTAAACATTCTTGTTTATCTGAAAAACAATGCTGAAGTCAGATATTCTGCTTTGAAAATGGCTGTTTCGCTCCGCTGGACAGTAGCAAACTCCAAAATGAGACTTAGATTCAGAGTTCCACATGAGGTTATTAATTAGCAAATATTATAAATATTACGAACCTAAACATTAGGTGAGCAGATAACATTGTAACCACGTGTCCCAACAACACGCTATGTGACAAGATTTGGCTGTTTGCACCAGATTCAACTTGGCTGTTTGCACCAGATGAAACACTACAGAAATTTAAATACAGCCACTCAGAAGCACAGAATTTTCACTTACTTACAATATGGTAAGGTTTATGATCTAATAAATACATATTAAACCTCTTTATTAAATGTACATGCTGAATCACTGATAGTGATTATGGTGTAGTATTCAGTAGTATGGTAATAAATGGCATGTGAAATGGCATTCAAACTCACATTATTAGCATTTAACTGAATAAAGCAAATGAGGTGTACCAGAGGTGATCAGTTTATCCTGTTGTTGACTTGTGAGAAATAGAATAATTTCTAATATATTAATTAGATTAGAGGTGTTGGTTAGAACAAGATCTCCTTTTAATATGAAAGATATTCCTTCTATCGTGTGCCGTTGCTTTTATTTAGAACACGATTAAAATAAGACGTTAGGCTTGATATTCTCGCTCTTGGTCGTCAAACTGGCAACATGCGCTTGCGTTTGTTTTGATCCAGAAATGCAATACCTAGTTTAACCACTGGATGTGAAACTTATATACTGCACCTTTAAAGTACCTTAAAAGTACATATTAATACTTAAAAAAAAAAAAAAAAACTTGGTCTGAAGAGCGAGGAGGGATTCTGGGGTGAGAATAGTGTGCGACTTATTTAAGGGCTGAGAGTTAAATGCGCGATTTCCGGGAAATTATTACTTGTTTGCGGGCATTATGAGTCCCGCAAATGCATAGACTTGGGATGTCTGAATAACACGTTTAACAGTTATAGTGAGACGCGCTCTCTGACGTGCAGTGCTCTCTGCCTGGAGCTCAGAGGAGCGCATGATAGTGTGTGGCTGTGTGTGTGTGTGTTTGTGTGTGTGTGTGTGTGTGGCTGTGTGTGTGGTCACGTGATGTGAGTTTTCAGCAGGGGGCTATTCAGAATTGCAAGGTAAAACGGTGTGGATGTGAATCACTTTCATTCTAAAATGCCATTTTAACACTAAAACATATAAGTGTAAACAGGGCCTGAGTGTATTTTTCGGCAGCAGGTTTGCGACGGGGGTGGGGCAATGAATGGCGATGCCAGATTAGTATCGTGTTGTTCATTGGTTATCGACGATGGCATCGTCTATCGGCCCAACCCTAGTGGTGATGATGTAGTTTCCAAATTAAATTACTTATGTCCATTTGGGTTCATGTCAGGTGATTAAATGACAAAGCATTCATATAAATTCACCACAATGTTCCTCAAGTGATTTAGTAATGGTTCAGGAAATGCGGCTTGGCTATCAATGGCCGAGAACACAATGGCTATGTATACATGCACTTTATCCGCAACAATACTTTATAGCTGTTTGTGATAATAGCTTTTGGCTGATAGAGCCTAAAGTGTCCTATGTAAGCTCTATCCACAGGGTAACACTACTTGACATCATGAATTATAAAATATCATGGTTATGTGAGACACAACATTTTGTCCTTTTGTGGAAAAAAAAAAAAAAGCTCAATTGTCCTTTGATTTGTGCATAGCCATAGTAAAAAGTGTGTTACAGGATTTCATTTGAACTATGTACACATTTGACTTTATAAAATGTATTTCTAAAAACTAAAATCATAGCCAAATGTCAAGAGTTACATAACATTTACCCTCAATTTTACAATGTGTAGTCATCAATAACAAAGCAACACATGTATCTATTTTGGCATTAAATTTGTTTTCATAGAAACTGTTTGGACTGTCAGGTTCAAGTCTGAGTTGCTGTTTCTTAATTATTGTCATCTAGACAAACATGAAAGATGCAGTAATCTAGACAATTAAACACTGTGAATGTAATGGGAAATTTATTAAAGTAAATAAAAAATGTTATTGCAGTCCTGATGACACAACACTTATTCTGTAAGTTGGAGGTCAGCCAATGCCTGGACAGAGACATACAATGTACTTTAAAGGAACTATTAGAGAACATAATTAGTGTTGTCGAAGCATCACTGCTGTTACTATGGATTCTGCTCTGAATGCAGAACACTAATGCTTTCATGAGGCAAAAGACTGTCAGTCCTAGATGTTTAGCGCATGATGCCTGAGTGAAACTGCACTGTAAGCAGAACAATCCATCACTTACTTTAATCAAGATGGCCTTTGTGTAGCCAGACATGAGACGTTTCCCCCATTGTGTGTCATGTACAAAGGTTTCAACAGAAGCCTCTAGATCCCAAACCTGGGGTGAAATTTATTGGTTACAAAACACATTCGGTTAAAACTCACCATTTTTTCTACTGTCTTGGTGTTGACTTCCTGAAGTGCATCTGAAAGGTTTTCTTTGGTGGATGTTGCAGACACACCCGTCTCTAGCTCCTCCAACTCTCTCTCCAGGCTGTGCTCAAGAGAAAAGGCCAGAAAGGCTTCTGGTAGTACTCAGAATAGCAAAATCTACTAAAAGAGGTTGATTGTTCACATATATGGCTCCTAAAATATGGAATAGTCAGTTTAACTTTAACTGTTAACGTTTTTAGTAATTAGTTAAAGTTTTCAGAATCCTTACATTATATACGTTCATATTTCATTACTGTTTAAAAAATGTATTTTCTAATATGTAGTGAAGTAAATTCAAAAAGTAACCTTCCTAACCTCATGGGTGGCTTACAAGGAGCTCTTGTAGCCAAAGCAGAAATTTAATCAGGGTATTGGACATTCAGACCGACTGTTCTGCTATTAGAGATTCTGCCTCTTTTACACCATAGGGAATAAACTGAGACAAATCAGATAAGAACAATCCTGGTCACTAGATCCATATTACACAGCCCTGATGAATCCTATATCAGGGCCTTTCTAACACATCTACTTCTTTTTAGTACTCGTTTTATTAAAAAAAAAGTGTATTCTTAATATTTAAATAATGTTTAAAAAATGCTGAGGAGGATTTACCTGACAATGGTCTCCTCAAGACCTCTGGTTTTGGCCTCATGTTCCCGCAGCTGTTTAGTTGTCTCGTCTTCCTCCTGTCCTGCAGAGGGCGCACCATCCAGCAGCCATCTTTCCCGAAGTGCCTTTGACTATCAAATAAAGAGTAAAAAAAATAATATAATTTGTCAAATGTTGATTGCTGGTTGATTCTGCAAGCAACTTATTACTATACAACTTTTAACAGCTGCATACATGAAACTAGTAATAAAAAGACATGATTAGTTTAAGGTTTTTGAGTATTGAGGTTGTTATTTATACAATAATATTTGTCCCTTTCAGCAGGGTTTATGTTGTTTAAAAGGGTTATCTGTATGAGATGAAATATTGCTTTTATGCAATTGTATTTAGGTATGAGTAGACTTCAGGTTTGGTAGGTGAAAATTAGGCGAAAAAAGGTACTTTCCCTAATCTAACCATATATAGGATAACTCAATTATTGTCGTTTGGATAGGGCAGAGAACATATGTTTATACTATCTTTATTTATGTATATAATCATGTTTATATGTTTAATACAACTTTTTTATACTGCAATATTCTGTAAATAACAGCACTTGTCCAGCTTCTTCATCCTTTAACCTTATGTATTATTCTGCCCACATATAGCAACAAGCAGAGGACACTCTACAGTTTGACAAATATTGCTGCTGTTATACAACATAATGTACCTTTAAGGCTTTTCTAGTCGTGAATGTAGTTGTTTAGATTGCAACTATGCAGTTTATTTATAAGGATAGATTACATTTTAATTTGTATATGTTGGTTTATTTCAAAGAGGTGGGGCTTCATCTTTAAAAGGAAGCCCTAAAACTCAAATTCGGAGTCAGTTAACCTGGCGAGTGAGTGAGCTACTGTGGTGCCGTGAGCAATTTGTGACTTGTCTGTGTATAATAGTGTGGTTGTACATATATCATTTGTTTATTTGCCGTTTGTTTGTTCTTTTACTTTTGGGTTTTGGGTTATTTTGTTTTTCACAATTATGGTAGAGGTATTTTTTCTCTGTTTGTGAATATGTGCTGAAAACCAACTAAATTGTTTGCAAGTTGGAGTACTTTTTTAAGTTTATAAAATAATGCTTCTTTGTCAATTACAAGTACTGAGAATGAAAGTACTGGTGCTCCTGGATTGGCCAGCCCAGTGGCCAGAGTTGAACATTATTGAGCATGTCTGGGGTTAGATGAAGGTGGACGCATTGAAGATGAATCCAAAGAATCTTGATGAACTGCCATTCTAGATGACTTTATTATTAAGTTTTTTGATTCATTGCAGAGATGTATGGATGCAGTTCTCCAAGCTGGGAGTTATACACAATAGTAATTGTTTTTCCACTGTACCAGGACTTTACATTCTATACTGTACATTATTTCTGTTAAGTGAAAAGACTTTTGTCTCAGCAAAGTCAGACCTTACTGTCCTAATTAAATCATAAAAAATTAAGGCATTATCATATTTTATTTTGGTAAAATAAACAATCTAGAAGCCTTTGCCTTTCATATAAGCTACTTCTGATACCAAATAATCAACTAAAGTTATTAAAGTTATTATTTGTTGTTCCTAAAACTTGGATAGGTAGTGGATAGGTAGATAAGTAGTGTACTTGAAGACTTATATTTTGATTAAATAAATGCCTTGGTGAGGTTAAAAAGCCAGATTAAAAAACATAAAATACTTTAGAACATTATAAATGAAACAAACAAAAAAAGTATGGCAAAGAAGAAGAAAAGACATGCTTGAAACTGAAGATGCATGTGCAGTTGAACAATAACAGCTATGCCCCTAAAGAGTTTAAATTCTGTTATCGCTAGCCTTTGGAGATCTTGTATGAGAACAGAGATCCTTACTAACTGAATAGTGCACAGCTCTCGATCTCAGAGCCTTGAATTATTCAGCTAATTGGCACTAAAATCTAAGTGTTGAGCTGGCACTAAGCTGCCTTGGCACAAAACAAGACACTGCTCTGATTTACTCTCTGAGACTGATCTTGCTCTGACTCTTAGAGACCAATCCTTGCTTATTGGTTGATGCAACTGCATGAATATGTTAATAAAACTGCTTCAGATCTTACATATACATAGCAAACTCTTTCCAGCAGATATTAAAATGACTGTGGCAATAATGCTGCTATACAAACTTTTTAAAATATCTTATACAAACCCAATCTATTACCAACCCATTTAAATCTGCCTTTTGCAGATTTAAAAATATTGCAGACCTAGCATACTGAAGATTGATTAGTTCTTTCTGTGCGTACTTCCAGATATTTGACAAGCATTAAAAAAAAAAACACTGATCACAGAAAAGTTATTCTGCGCACACTTAAAGACGGAACATTATGGAAGTGAGTTGTATCATTTGGCGGCTGTCCATCCCCTAAGGGGTTCCTGGCATTTATTGCACAAAGCTCCAGGCCTCAGACATTCCTGCCTCTTCCAGCTGTTACTGATCAAACGTTTGAACATGGCCATTTTCTATCTTGCTGTCAAGTTAAATAACATTCTTATATGCTAATAACACATGCCTACCATTATGTATTTTGATTCAGTTCATCAGTACCAGTTCTGGATTCTGTAGCCTACTCTTATGACTCAACAAGAAGATTGTGGCATGTAAAAAAGCTGTATTCCATACAATTTATTTGTGTTAGGGCAACATGAAGGAATAAAGTTAACTCAGTAGTTTATTTAGCTAATTTAAGTTAATTAAACATAAATAAAGGACTAAAGACTAAAACAATTAAAATCTTTCCCATAAAAACTTAAGAATTGAGTTGTTTCAGTTTATTTTTAAAAGCAAACATAATCAGCACTCAAAAAAAATTGCTCTTTGTTCAAGCTAATTGTTTTTAATGAGCTGAAACAACACAATTATCACAATTTCTTTGTGGGGACAACATAATTATTAATAATCCACTTAAATAAGTAAAAACTAATAAGTTAACCTAATTCCTTCATGTTGTCCCACACAAATCATTTCTGTGGAACCCAGATTTTTTTACAGTGAGGGCAATAGTTCAAATTTGTTCTTGCATTGCAATATTTTTTTGTAAAAAAAAAAATAAAAAAAAGCTAAATTATTTTCATTTATGTTATTTAATGTTGCTTTATTTATTTATTTATTTATTTATTTATTTATTTATTTATTTATTTATTTATTTATTTATTTATTTTGTTAAATCAAGTTATTTTCTCTTGTTAAACAGAATATATGAAAACAATACACTTCAGTGAAGATAAAACCAAAAAAAATTATAACAATATTAATAAAAAATAAAAAAACAGTTTATTTAAAGAAATACATTTATGATTCAATAAAACAGCAATAACAAATAATAATAATGATGACGATGATGATGATGATCATCATCATCATCATTATCATCATTAAAAATACATAACATCTATCTAGAATAGTAAATCAACCATGTCTTATATTGTGAAGAGTTGACAGATATTTAGCAGCTATTATTGTTGAGTAAAAAGCATCTTGTTAATAAGTGAGGTCAAAGATGGGGTGTCTTGATCCTCTTAAATTTTTCCAGCGTTTTCTATGTTTTTCTGTAGAAAGTCTTATTTCTTTTACTATTACTGGTACCAGGTCAGATTTCAGAGGTGCCGACGTGTTATTCATTCATTCATTTTCTTGTTGGCTTAGTCCCTTTATTAATTCGGGGTCGCCATAGCGGAATGAACAGCCAACTTATCCAGCAAGTTTTTATGCAGCGGATGCCCTTCCAGCCACAACCCATCTCTGGGAAACATCCACACACACATTCACATACACACTCATACACTACGGACAATTTAGCCTACCCAATTCACCTGTACCGCATGTCTTTGGACTGTTGGGGAAACCGGAGCACCTGGAGGAAACCCACGCAAACGCAGGGAGAACATGCAAACTCAACACAGAAACGCCAACTGCGAACCAACGACCCAGCGACCTTCTTGCTGGTAGGCGACAGCACTACCAACTGCGCCACTGCTTCGCCCTGTATGAATTTATTTACAATTAAATTCAAAATTGTAGCCCAAGTGTTGAGTTTGTCCATATTCTATCCCCATTTGTTTCATACAAAGGGCCCTATTATACACCCTTCGCAATAAGGTGCAAGACGTGTTTGGCGCGATTTGTTGCTATATTTTCAGCCCAGCGCAACAGTAATTTTCACATTTTGTGCCAAGTTGTTTAAATAGCAATAGTTGTCCATTTGTGCCACTTTGTGGTCTCTTGGGTGTGCTGGTCTGAAAAGGATAGTTGGCATTGCTATTTTGAGAAATGAAATAGACTGCGCCATTGACTAACTAAAAGGTGGTCTGAAGCAGGGCTGGACTGGGGCAAAAAATCGGCCCTGACATTTTGGGCCAGAGTGGCCCACTACATTCAATCAAAATGCTATCTATCTATGCACGTCCAATATTTTTATCAACTCATATTTTATAAAACACAAAAGCCATATGTATGAAATAAATAATAAATAAATACAAACTTTAATCTCAATTTAATTTCTGTATACTGTCCATAAAACTATTTGTTGAGTTCTAAAAAAATACACTATTCATTCATTTATTTTTTATTTTTTATTTATTTATTTATTTTTTATATTCATTTATTCTTCGCATTAGTCCCTTATTTATCAGGGGTTGCCGCAGTGGAATGAACTGCCAACTATTCCAGCGTGTTTTATGCAGCAGATGCCTTTCCAGCCCCAACCCAATATTGGAAATCACCCATATACACACTCATACACTACAGCCAATTTAGCTTATTCAATACATTATTCACTCAGACTATATTTAATAATAAACATAACAAAAACTGCCTGCTAATGCATGGGTAAATCTTCAAAGGGAACAGTGTACTTTATAACCTAATTCACCTCATCCTGCTTGCTGTTTTACTATCTAAACAATGAAAACAAAATATAAGTCAAATTTGTTTTATTTTGATATTATGATTAACAGACACCAAACAGCCTCGTGTAGCTATGTGATGATCTGAGTGGGGATCGAACCCGGGTCTGCGGTGTGGTTAGCAGTAGTTCTTACTAGATGAGCTAAGTCAGCAACTGGTGGCCCAAGAGCAGAGGAGGA